CGCTTGCTGCTGTGCTGGTGAAAATCAGCACACTTGGCGATGGAGTCCTTCAGCTTCTTACGTGCACGTGAATACTTGTACAGGGTAGTGGAAACACTCGGCATATTCGACGATAACATCCTGTCCTTAAAAGGAAAAATCATATATAACACTGGTCATAATCAACGTTTTTGGGTTTAGATCGCGTTATTTATAAATATGTCGTAACCCTCCACCACCCGACACGGTCAATCAGTAAAAAAGTGTCACGTTGACAAAAGACAAATAGTTTACTACTTTAGCCCACCGGTGTGTTGAAGCCACAACATTTACAATTTGAGTACGACGTTTCGCTGGTAATTGCATCCAGCATCAACGGGCAACAAAAAAAACATTTTTTTCTGGCCTGGACTTGCTGTTTTAGACTAATTTCAGGGTGCTGATTCCAAATCTGATCTCAGATTTGCTCTATCACATCTCATTTTGATGCTATCGGCATACCCCATTTTCATTGATTTTACCCTGAAATTAACTTTGTCACTTATGATTGCAAGTTGTTGCGAGTCAGTGACTGCTTTAGTGTTAAAATATGGTGCTGTATTTTTAGGATAGTGTGTTTATAATATCATTTTATGTATATATCCACATTTATTTAATATTTTTCTTCTGCAGTTTTTATTGAAAATGCAATATTTGATATCTCACAAACCTGATGTGATAGACAAAAACTGATGCCAGATTTGGATTCAGCACCCCAAAATTACATTGAAACCGTTAGAATACCTTATGCCAGAAAACGTGTGTTGACCAGTGTAATGGATGACGTTTCGGGCAAGAACCCATAAATAGAGAGGGCAGAGAGACAGAGTTTGTTGTCCTCCGATTAGCACGGTTGGCTACGTACGGTGTGAAAGAAGTTCAACACACAGTACAGAGTCGATGAGTGGATGGTCAAGGGATGAAACGCATCCCAGACAGAGAGAGAGGTCACCCACAGAGGAGATGGAGCAATGAAATCACTCGGTGTGCAGGTGCCGTGTGGATCGTGAAATCGCAGGGTCGTGAGATGGGGGTGGTGACGGTGGCTTGGGGAACTAGCCATCCAGCATTGGATTGACCATGGGCGATAATTAATCAATTACATTCATACGGCAGCTTTCTAATCATTGCTTAAGGACGTGGAGTTTGCTCGTCTCTCTCGACATGGTCGCATGGATTTTTCTCCGGGTCCTCCCAATTTTTTCCCTCCACATTTCTATTATTTTTTTTTATCAACATCACGCCTTTAGAGTATTTGGCTGCCATACAACATTTCCACATCACAAGGCAACTTCGTTGAGTTAGCTATCATTTGTGGCCCAAGTCGCTTCTGGAAATGAGCTACGGAGCTCAGTGGGCCCTACCTGTTCAAATAAAAAATAGTTCAGTTTAGTTTATACTATCACTGGCCTGGCTATGGGAGGAAGGGCACAGCAGACGGAACGAGAGAAAGAGAGAGAGAAAAGCCAAGTCAGCAGGAGAAGTGAAAGCAAGAGAGAGAACGAACTCGTTAAATTTCGATTTAAAGCTTTCGTGACTGCAGGGATTCATCTTCTTGGTTCTTTCGGTAAAGTCACGTAGAAGGGAAATAATAAAATAATAAAAATAAAACATAAAATAATTCTCACGACGTTTCGGCCACATTATGTTTTATTTTTATTATTATTTTATTATTTCCCTTCTACGTGACTTTACCGAAAGAACCAAGAAGAAGAACGAACTCGTGTTGAGACGGCGGGGAGGTTTAATCCACTCCACTGCTGTCTTCGAATCACGGACAACGCCGGGCACGGACTTTGGCCCACGTCTGGGCGTGCGTGTGTGTGTGTGTGTCACGCACGATGAACTTCTGCCGTCACCGAACGTAGCCAACCGGGGCAACCGGGTGGGAAGGTCACGCAAACGTTCAGAGGAGCCGTGTCGGGCCATCGAATGACGAAGCCTTTGGGGATGACCGCACACGCACACGGGGTGTGGTATGGTGGGGGGGGGGGGTTGGTAAATGTGCACAATGAAGTTGGTCTGTTGAGCGCCTTGTAGGTCAGAAGGAGGACCTTCAAACGGGCACTGTGAACTCTCTAGACCAGTGGGTTCTTAACCCTTTACTGCAGCCTTGCACCCCTTGATTCTCAGTCGTTTGGAAAAAAATGTACAATGTTAATAAATACATCGGGGTTTCAACAAAGCAAGCTGTACGTACGTGCCCGTGTCTAATTTGTGTATGTAAAAAAAATCTGGCCATGTCTCGCACGCCAAGAAAGGGGCATCACGCAGCCCAAGGCGGTGAAGCGTACATCCAGGGTAAGGAGAACCACTGCTGTAGGAAGTCGTTGAAGAGAGAGAGTGGCCAGGGACGTGCTAAGCGGTAAACGCCGCGTGACCAGAGACATCTCTCCGTCCACCAAGGTAGCTGTTTGGCTCGGCGTAATTTGGCACCCGGGCAAAAAACCGATTGGGCAAATGAATGTCCGAATTTTTTGACGAGGACCTGGCTTACGCCACCGAAAATATGGTTACAGCAGCAGCGACAACAACAACAGCAAACATATTCTTCTTGGTTCTGTCGGTAAAGTCACATAGAAGGGAAATAATAAAATAATATAAATAAAACAATGAAATACAATTCTCACGACGTTTCGGTCACAACGCAAGCAGCCGTCCTCAGGTGAAGAACAGGTCTGTCGGAAAGACAGCGTCTGAGGACGGCTGCTTGCGTTGTGGCCGAAACGTCGTGAGAATTGTATTTTATTGTTTTATTGTTATTATTTTATTATTTCCCTTCTACGTGACTTTATCGAAAGAACCAATAAGATGAATCCCTGCAGTCACGAAAGCTTTAAATCGAAAAACAAACAAATTACGAACAAACATCAGTGCAACAAACAACCGTTTCGATGTCAAGTTTCGTGCATGGCACGGTCGTGGATAATCGACCCCGGTTACAACTGGCACAGAAAATACAACGTGGGCATGGGGAACGACCAGGGGAAACGGATAGCAGGCTGGGGCACATGCAAATTTGCATGGGACTTGTGTGTGCGTGTACGTTTCGCGATGGTGGTTACGTCTGTTTGTATGAAGCGGTTAGCGCACTGCGCTACGAACCCGGCGACCCGAGTTCGATTCGCGCTCACGGCCAACACCGGTGACGATTATATGAACCGATCCTGGGCCTCCCCTAGGTCGACTCAGCCACAAATGAGTGCCTGGTGCGGTGCGTAAACATCGCCACTGGGGAGACAAAGGCGGTCGGGCGTGGTTGCTGGCCACCCACCTCCCTCGTGTGCCGTGCCGGCCTTCATAAGTGCTCGCTAACAGCACTTGCCCCAGCAGTCTGTTAAGGCTACACGGGGGATCTTTGTCTGTGTTATCACACACTGCACGTGCCCCTTGGCTAGCGAGTCCAGACGAAGGCAGTTGGAAGACATGAACACATTTTTTTTTGCGCAATGATTGGGAGCGAGTTTCACAAGAGGCCAATCTTTGGCTCTCCAAAGTTGAATCAACTCAGAGATTCGCCTCGCCGGCCTTGCACAATTACCGGACAAAAACAACAGAGACCCAAGGCCCTTTGTTTTACACACACACATATACAGCAAGATGGAATATATCCATGACGTTTCACGGTTTAAGAACCACACAAATGTCACTTTTTCTTAGCGTTTCACAACACACCGACTTAAGAACAAAACAACCCAAGCAAGGGAAGGGCGTTAGTAATTATATGTTTTAATTCTCGCAAAAGTTAAATTATGTCGGTGATGCTGCTGCTACCGCTGGCAGTGGTGCAAAAGCACACTTAACAAATGAAAACACTCGTCATTAACACTGTGGTCTTACAATAAACACGACAATCTATATAAGCGACGTTTCAGGCAATGGCCCTGTTTCATAGCACACGGAAACTGCACTTTTCCACACAGTGGAATCATGGGGAGAGTTACATTACAAAATATACTTCTGATGACCAGTTTTTGTTGTTGTTGATGTTGTTCAATGAGGCATATGAGTAATTACACAAATATTAGTTACTGAGTTTTTACCCTTTTATCTGGTACAACAACTGACACCTTTATACAAGGGATCATGTTTGCAATAACCACAACACAAGCAGTCAAAATGCAAACATAAAGAAACAACTCTGATGATGATAATGATATGCACTTTCCTTGGAGTTGATTGGTCCACACCCGAGACAGCTTTTCTTAGAGCCTAGTCTCCATTGGTCCAACACCAATAGACTAGATAAAAGGGTAACAACCTATTACTAAATCAAAAGTAGAACTGAACTCATCGCACTCTCTGAGAAAGGGGGACAGATCATTGCTGGTCAGTTTCATGGCTGTCTGGCTGGACCCTCGTACGTGGGCAAATGCGCGATGGTGATGTTACGCCGGCAAAAAAGGGGGGGGGGGAGTTGGGGTTATTGGAGGGAAGCGAGGGAAGGGGGATGGACCGACACGTCCAAAGCGCGTGCGGACTACTGGTTGATGTTCACATTTCTCAACAGGCCGTCACCAATATCAACGGTCCATTATTAATCTCAACGTTCCATAATCAATCGTTCAATCATAAAATTAAATGGTCCATCATCCATCTCAGTGGTCAATCATAAATAGAAATGGTCCATCATCCATCTCAGCGGTCCGTCATCAATCTCAACGGTTGATCATCAATCTCAACGGTTCATCATCAATCTCAATGGTTCATCATCAATCTCAACGGTCCGTCATCAACCTCAATCGTCCATCATAAAACTAAATGGTCAATCATCCATCTCAACGGCTCATCATCAATAGAAATGGTTCATCATCCATCTCAGTGGTCAATCATAAATAATAATAGTTCATCATCAATCTCAACGGTTCATCATCAATCTCAAACGGCCATCAGCCATCTCAGTGATACATCATTCATCGCACTGGGCCCTACCTTGACTCATTGACATTGACCTTGCTCGTTATTGACGTTTACGATGTCAGCGTGTGCAGCCAGCAAGGGGAACCAAGAGGGATCGCCGGAGGAAAGCAAACGGGACCCCTTCCTGGACCCCGGGGTCCCTCCATCCCCAGAGACTCCGTTCCGCTCCAAGTCCCCAAAACGGGATCCTGAATCGGGGGTCCCGGACCCCACCGTGCACCGCCCGGGAGAGACATGGGCGATCCTGGGCCGGGAGCATGGTCATGGAGACACCACGTGGAAAGGGCGAGGCCCGGGTATGGAAATGCGCATAGTCGCCTTCGTTGTTGTCGTCGTGATCATCGTTATAGTCGATCAAAGTTCGTCAAGCTGGACGACGATCGGTCATCGCCTATGCTATGCCGAGGCGGCGTACAACAGGGGTCCGTTCTCGGGCCAGATGTGGTGCACACATCCTAACACAATCTCCATCCATCTCATCTCCATCCATCTCATCTCCATTCGTCTCATCTCCATGCATCTCATCTCCATCCATCTCATCTCCATCCATCTCATCTCCATCCATCTCATCTCCATCCATCTCATCTCCATCCATCTCATCTCCATCCATCTCATCTCCAACTATCTCATCTTCATGCATCTCTCCATCCTTCTCCTCCTCTTCTGGCTATGGTCAGCAGAAGACGCAAGGCTCACCATGCCGTGCGAAGACCCTCTCCGCTACGCCGGTCTCACTCTACCCCTGGTGCCAGTCGGGGTACCCTGGTCGCCGAGGGGGGCTCACGTGGGACCCCCGCACGGGGTCCCAGACTTTCTCGGCCGCCCCTCCCCGGGGCTGAACGTTGTCCAGGGCCCCTTCGGGGGCGGCCTCCACGCTGCCGCCGTGGCTGCCACCGCGGCGTCGGTGCAGAACTTGTTCCAGGCTCGCGTCCATCCGGAGAACTGCGTCTACAAGTGCCTCAAGTGCCATAAGGTGGGTGCCAACGGATAGCCGCTGACGTGCAATGAACAAGTCAGGACGTGCGTAGGCGAAGGCGAGACCTGCCAGCACCTACGATTTGCACGGTTGGCTACGTGCGGCGCGAAAGACGTTGAACGACATACGTCATCGGCAGTCCCTTGACGGTTCGAGGATGACGTCCATCAGGTTTAGTGGTAGCTCAGGATTCCAATTCTGGATCTGCAGATCTTTGGCCATTGGGCGCGCAGTACCAGATAGCGCCGCATGCGCAAAGATTCCGCTGTGTTCTCAGTCTCCCGACTGACGTCGCACGCAACCGATGCCTCGTTTTAAACCTTGCGACTGACCCCTCGCTCGGGCCCAGGGCCGAGCACAGGTTGTCTCGCGAAGGCATTCAAAGTGAAGGGGCCCACATTTCTGGGAGGTTTAACCGGAGCGCACGTGACCCTCTTCTTTGCACTGCACAAGCGAGAAGCGCCAGGACGGTGCTGGAGCCAGCCCGGCGAGGCTCAGGAGGCGCCAGGTTTTCTTTTCTTTTTCATCCACTGCAGGAAGCCGAGCGGTTGCTCCGCTGAGGTTGCGCACGTGGCGGCAAGCGAGCCCCAGGCGTTCGTCGGCCAGCGCGGAGGATTTAAGAACCTCGCACCCCGACAGATCGATCGAACCGGCGACCTCTAAAGACAACTAAACTAAAAATATGTTTTATTTTAGCAGGTATAAGGCACCACTGCGCGGTTATGTAGCTCTGTGTCAACGGCGACCTGTCCCTCACAAATGATAGCTCAGCGTCGTCGTAGTGACAATGTACAGCGGCCAAACACTCTGAACGTGCGATGTCGATTCTAAATGTGGAGGGAAAAACCGGGAGGACCCGGAGAAAAATCCACTCGACCACGGGGAGAACACGCAAAGGCATCGGGGTCGGGATCGAACCCACGACCTCCTGCATACCAGACGAGGTGGTCAACATCTCGCCACTGCTGCGTGTGAGCGAACGATAGCCGTCGCAACCGGGACACCCTCGAGAACAACGTCCGCTGCAAGGGCGACGCCGCTGGCGAGCGAGCGTGGAGACTCCGTCTCTGCGGGGATGACGAAAGACGACTCACCCCTGGTGGTGTTCTTCTGCGCCCCCCCCCACCCCCCTCCCAGGTGTTCTCCACCCCACATGGCCTCGAGGTGCACGTGCGGCGGTTGCACAGCGGCTCGCGGCCGTTCGCCTGCGAGGTCTGCGCCAAAAGCTTCGGCCACGCGGTCAGCCTGGAGCAACACCGCGCGGTGCACTACCAGGTAGCGGTGCACTACCATGTAGAGGTGCACTACCAGGTAGCGGTGCACTACCAGGTAGCGGTGCACTACCATGTAGCGGTGCACTACCAGGTAGCGGTGCACTACCATGTAGCAGTGCACTACCAGGTAGCGGTGCACTAACAGGTAGCGGTGCACTACCATGTAGCGGTGCACTACCATGTAGCGGTGCACTACCAGGTAGCGGTGCACTAACATGTAGCAGTGCACTACCATGTAGCGGTGCACTACCAGGTAGCGGTGCACTAACATGTAGCGGTGCACTACCATGTAGCGGTGCACTACCAGGTAGCGGTGCACTACCATGTAGCAGTGCACTACCATGTAGCGGTGCACTACCAGGTAGCGGCGCACTACCATGTAGCGGTGCACTACCAGGTAGCGGCCGGACGTGGAGTTGGCCACCCGCCCCATCGCTTCATCAGCACTTGCCCCAACAGTCTGTTAAGGCTACACGGTCGGGGGGGAATCTTTGTCTTTGCCTCCTCCACGACTGCAGGAGCGAAGCTTCGACTGCGGCATCTGCGGGAAGACGTTCAAGCGCTCGTCCACGCTGTCCACCCACCTGCTCATCCACTCGGACACGAGGCCCTACCCCTGCGCCTACTGCGGCAAGCGCTTCCACCAGAAGTCCGACATGAAGAAGCACACGTTCATACACACAGGTGAGACACACACCTACACACACCTACACACACACACGTTCATACACACAGGTGAGACACACACACACACACCTACACACCTACACACACACTCATACACACACACGTTCATACACACAGGTGAGACACACACACACACACACACCTACACACACACACCTACACACACACGTTCATACACACAGGTGAGACACACACCTACACACACACACGTTCATATACACAGGTGAGACACACACCTACACACACCTACACACACACGTTCATACACACAGGTGAGACACACACCTACACACACACACCTACACACACACCTACACACACACCTACACACACACGTTCATACACACAGGTGAGACACACACCTACACACACCTACACACACACACGTTCATACACACAGGTGAGACACACACCTACACACACACACCTACACACACACCTACACACACACGTTCATACACACAGGTGAGACACACACCTACACACACACATGTTCATACACACAGGTGAGACACACACACACACACACCTACACACACACACGTTCATACACACAGGTGAGACACACACACACCTACACACACACACACCTACACACACACAGGTGAAACACACACACCTACACACACACCTACACACGCACACTTACACACACACACCTACACACACAGGTGAGACACACGCACACCCCTACACACACACCTACACACACACAAACCTACACACACACAAACCTATACACACACCTGCACACACACCTACACACACACACCTACACACACACCTACACACACACGTTCATACACACAGGTGAGACACACACCTACACACACACACGTTCATACACACAGGTGAGACACACACACACCTACACACGGGTGAGACACACACACACACCTACACACACACACCTACACACACACAGAACAACACACACACACACACACCTACACACACCTACACACACACACATGCACACACACATCTACACACACACACACCTACACACACACCTACACACACACGTTCATACACACAGGTGAGACACACACACACCTACACACGGGTGAGACACACACACACACCTACACACACGTGTGAGAGATATCCACACACACCTACCCACACGTTCATATATAGACAGGTGATGCAAACACTTCCACACAGGTGAGATATACAAAGACTAATGTCCTCCCCGCATAGCCTTAACAGACTGTCAGGGGCAAGTGCTGCTTCATCGCAAGCTTCGGTGTTAAGCACCACTCATATGCAGTCGACAATATTCTGTTCACCGCCATCAATTCTACCAATGCGTCTGGATTTGAGAGGCTCTCGGAATGCACCGCTGCCTTGCAACAGTGGTTCTCCGCACACAGCCTTGCCCTTAATCTGTTGAAGTCAGTGGCCTTCATGTTAGGTACCAGGCAACGTTTCAAATCATCCGCGCTCCCAACACACACATACACATCTTTGGTTACAGCATCAGGTTCACCGATCACTTCAGCTACCTCGGTGTCATCCTAGATTCAACTTTATCCTTAGACCGCCAAACCAATCATATCATCAGTTCATGTAACTTTCACCTGAAGGCTCTCAGACACCTACGTCATCTCATCTGCATTGACACCGCCAACACATTGGCACGTTGCATAGTTGGGTCTCGCCTCGACTATTACAACTCCGTCCGAGTCAGGACCTCCACTGGCAACCTCATAAAACTTCAAAGTCTACAAAAAAGCGTCGTCATTGGCCACACTCATCCCCGTCTCGACTCACTTGCCTATCTCCGTGCCCTCCACTGGCTACCCATCGCCAGCAGGGTCACATACAAGATCACCTGCCTCTGCCACGATGCCTTCATATCCGCATGCCCGCCGTACCTCTCTTCACTATTGACAACTTGCAGCGCAGCACACGGCAGATGCCTGCGCAGCGCGACTCACGACCTCCTCTTGATACCAAGATCCAGGATGGTCACGTCCATGCGCCGCTTCTCGGTGGCCACCCCAACAGTCTGGAACGCCATCATCCCTCTGCACATTCGTAGCATCACCTCAATCGCCTCCTTCAAGAGACACTTAAAAACTCACCTCTACAACCACGTGCTTTCGAGTGACTCTGAGCTTAGCTCCGCGCATCTGAGTTGCGGCCGTTACGTCCGCAAATTTGAACGCTTTACAAACTGCATTATTATTATTATAGCGAGCACCTATGAAAGCCGACACAACACACAAAGGGGTGGGTGGGCGGGCAGCACCATGCCCGACCACACACACACACAGGTAAGCCCGTACCTGATCGAGCCCACACCCGTGTGTGTGTGCGCGTGGAATGTGCACAGGTGAGACACATGCACGCGCACAGGTAAGCCCGTACCCAATCGAGCCCGTACCCCCGTGCGTGTGTGTGTGTGTGCGTGCGCGTACACCAGTAAGGATTATCTGAACCGGTCCTGGGCCTCCGCGAGGTCGACTCAGCCTAAAATTAGTACCAGGTGCGGTGTGCAAAAACATCGCCACCGGGGAGACAAAGGCGACCGGGCGTGGTGTTGACCGCCCACCCCCTAATCGTGTACCACAGTGCCGGCCTTCACATAGGTGCTACTCGGTAAACAGCACTCGCCCCAACGGTCTGCCGAGGCTACCCGGGGGACCTTTGCCTCTGTGTTTGCGCGTGTCGCGTGCGCAGGCGAGAAGCCCCACAAGTGCTCCGTGTGCGCCAAGGCGTTCAGCCAGAGCTCCAACCTCATCACGCACTCGCGCAAGCACACGGGCTTCAAGCCCTTCACTTGCGACCTGTGTGGCCGCGGCTTCCAGCGCAAGGTGGACCTGCGCCACCACCGCGACACGCAGCACCGCGCCGCGCCGCCACCACCACCGCCTCTGCTCGACAACTGCACGCGGCTGCCCGAAGTCCCCGGCGAGAGAGAAGGGAAGGCTCACACCCTGTGAGGCTGGGGGAGTGGTGAGTGGGGGGGTGGGGGGTAGAGGTGAGTTAGTCGAGGGGGGAAGGGAGGTGAGTCTTGGCTCACCCGGCGAGAGAGAAGGGAAGGCTCACGCCCTGTGAGGCTGGGGGAGTGGTGAGTGGGGGGTGGGGGTAGAGGTGAGTGGAGGTGAGTTAGTCGAGGGTGAAAGGGAGGTGAGTCTTGGCTCACCCGGCGAGAGAGAATGGAAGGTGGGCCTCGGCAAAATAAGGTCATTTACCCTTTTTACCGGGTAAAAGGGTCAAGGGTAAGGTGTTGACATGCCAAGTGGTAAGGTAAAGGGTAGGGTAATGGTAGCGTGGAAGTATTACCCTGTAAATACCTTGCTTACCGCTCGCTAAAAGCTCCGTGGCGCAGTCCGTGGCCTCCATTTAAAATTGGAATCATCGAGAGTATTCTATAGATGAATAAAGCGCTCTGCCGAGCATTGACCTGTTACAAACCTTGTTCATGTGTAGTAGTACCCCAGTAATTACCCTGTAATCGGGTAATTTGTATGGAGTAAGGGTAAAAGGTAGGGTAAAAGTAGGCTCGTTGTTTTTACCTTTTAACTTTTACCTTGCCGAGGCCTAGTGGAAGGCTCACACCTCACCCCTGTGAGGCTAGGGGAGTGGTGAGTGGGGGGTGGGGGTAGAGGTGAGTGGAGGTGCGTTAGTCGAGGGGGGAAGGGAGGTGAGGCTTGTCTCACCCGGCGTGTGATAGAGCGGGTGGGTGAGTGGGGATGGGTGAGGGGAGATGAGAATGTGACGAGGAGAGTGGTGGAGTGGGCACGGGTCAGGCGAGGAATCGAGGTTCCCAGAGTCTCCTGATTTTTACGAGAGAAGAAGCAAAAGCTCATCCCTCGCCCGCGTGAGGACGATGATGGAATTGATGAGAGATGGGTGAGATGCTGGGAGGTGAGGTGAGGCCAGTGAGGTGAGGGTCGGGTTGAGAGTGGCCCAAAATGAGACAACAGGTGAGGTGAGGAGATAGGTAAATATGTAGGGCGGTGAGGAGAGGTGGGGGCAGTTGAGTGTGAGAGGTGGTGAGGAAGGCCTGGTGAGGCATTGCAGTAGAGGAGAGGCAGGTGAGAAGTGAGGAGATGTGAGGGAGGGGGGGGGGGTGAGAAACGAAACGTCGCAGATCAACGTCCGGCCAAGCTCGTCCCTCTCCTTGACAATTGTAGGAACGTGGAATCGGGTCACTTATTTATCATGCAGGTCAAGACGAAGACAAAGATCCCCCGTGTAGCCTTGACATACTGTTGGGGCAAGTGCTGCTAGCTGCGCCTACGAAGGCCGGCACCGCACACGAGGGGTGGAGGGAGTGGGGGCATGGTGGCCAGCACCACGCCGGGCCGCCTTTGTCTCCCCAGCGGCGATGTTTACACGCCGCACCAGGTACTCATTTGAGGTCGAGTCGACCTAGATGTGGGGGGGGAGGCAGGACCTATTCACACAAATGCACGATATTATATCATTCGGCACGTGATGGAGTGTGCACGTGGCAGTAACGATGACGTCAAGTGGCGTTGTCCAGGTCTTGTCAAAATGTCGGCCTTGGCAAACATTGGCATTTCAAACGTAGTCATGTTAATCGACGCGCTATCTGTTACAATTATTATCACCAGGGATGTCCTGCCCCGCATTTGTAACGTCATATAATTGTCAAAGGCTCAGGGATACAGGCTGTGTGAATGTTAATGCGTTATTGTGTAATAATGACGATAATTATTATTATTGTGTTATATTTATATACAAAACAGAGGATTCCCCCGTGTAGCCTTAACAGAGACTGTTAGGGCAAGTGCTGTTGGCGAGCACCTGTGAAGGCCGGCACGGCACACGAGGGGCAGAGTTGCGGCCAGCACCTCTCCCCAGTATTTAAATTGTGAGCATGAGAATAGTCTTGACAATGTTCACAAGTCATGTACAAGTGCTGCCGCATACACGGATTTAAAGTACGTGTGTCTACACGCAAAGGGGCAGTCAACATATTAACGGAAATATGCTTAAGGGATAGGTACGGGTGAGCGATTATTTGATGTATTTAAAATGTATATACGGCTGTTTATTACTCAAACGACGATAGCACTTGGGGCGCCACGGTGGCTAGGAGATGTTAACTACCTCGCCTGGTATGCAGGAGGTCGTGGGGTTCGATCCCGACCGTTATGCCTGCTGTATATTTGGAGTCTGCATGTCTCTCTTTCTCTCCCCGTGGTCGCGTAGATTTTTCTCCGGGTTTTTCGCTCCGCGTTTAGAATCGACATCACGCGTTTAGAGCGTTTGGCCGCTATAAATGTCCAACAACAATGACGATGAGCCACGACGCTGAGCTATTTTTATTCGTGATGGCTGGGTAGCTTCTGAAAGAGTTACATGGCTCAGTGGGGCATACCTGGTAAAATAAAATAATAGGTTTTGTTTGTATAGTTTTAGTAGTTTATCCAGGAAAGCCTCGTTTTCAAGAGGGCCCAGCTTCACTGGGGACTCAAAAAGGTCACCCAAACCCACATGGCTAATCTGTCCTCCCCTGGTCACCGCCACCACCCCCACGTCGCAAGCCAGCCCAGCGGAATTTTGGGGGGGAGGACGGCAGAAATTCATCGATTAGCGCCGCTAGACGTGTCCCTGAAAAGTGCCGCCGGGTGTTAAGCGAGGAACTGCTGCTGCTTCTCAATCACGTTGTTCACGACAGGATGTGAACTGCGGTCATCCCATGGAGGCGACAGGGATACCGAGATGAGGGTACGCTCGCGCCAGCATTGAACTGCCGTTCACTCCGCGTGCTTTATCACCGTATCGCTCAACCGCGCAGAAAGGTGTTCGAACGGCGCGTGTTCCACGCTATAATGGCGCGCGTTCCACGTGATGACAGTCACGTGTTCCACGCTGTAACTGCACTAATCCGCAATGCCAACGGTGCGACGGTGGTGGACATTTGATATTCCCATGCAGAGCCGGCCCAGCCACTAAGCGACCCTTGCAATTGCAAAGGGCCCCGTGGCCAGCAGAGGGCCCCCCTAGAGTCACTGCTAGCTAGTGGGTGAAAAAAATCATACATCAAAGGGGCCTCCAACCAAATTTTGCTTAGGGCCCCCAAAGGTCTAGGGCCGGTTCTGTTCCCATGGCAGTGGTCAGTCCATCCATGGGGATGACCACCCTTGGCCGTGGCTTTCCCACAAGGTGGTACCTCTTCTTGGTTCTTTCGGTAAAGTCACGTAGAAGGGAAATAATTAAATGATAGAAATAAAACATAATAAAATAATTCTCACGACGTTTCGGCGACAACGCAAGCAGCCGTCCTCAGGTGAAGAACAGGTCTGTCGGGAAGACAGCGTCTCATTCTTCCGACAGACTTGTTCTTCACCCGAGGACGGCTGCTTGCGTTGTGGCCGAAACGTCGTGAGAATTATTTTATTATGTTTTATTTCTATTATTTTATTATTTCCCTTCTACGTGACTTTACCGAAAGAACCAAGAAGATGAATCCCTGCAGTCACGAAAGCTTTAAATCGAAATTTAAGGTGGTACCTGTTTTATTGATCTCGAAGAGATGATGGCAGTCTTGGTGTCGTCACCGCCGCAACACACATCACGTGAACGCTTCTCACCAATCCGCATGTCCTTATCCGTACACGGATAACCATGCCAACCAAATATAGAGTTGTACAATATATTGTCGTTATATTCAGCCTTAAGTGATTAGCATTGAGGCTATGGCTCATCACGCGTTTGCAGCCCTCCCTCAGCCGGTGGTGGAAATTCCACATTCCTATGGCGGCGGGTGGGACAAGTCTCTTCAGCAGACAACCAGTTGATCCCCCACCACCATCATCATCCACAGAGTGGTGTTCATTTTACCGACCTCCGGAGTGAGGGATGATGGGTTGAGTCAAACCCCCTAACCAAGACTCGAACTTGCAACCTTGCGACTGCTGAGGTTTACACAGAGTCAGAAGGAAAGCTTCAACTATGCACAGGACAATAACTATGCAACTGAATATATATATGCACATATATACTTTCGGTCGGTCGGTCGGTGGGTTGGGCATTTTGTGAATAAAAGTGAAAGTTGGGTGAATGAATTTGTCAACGTGGGTTTGTGTTTGGATTCCGAATTTCCCTGTGACCATGGGAACGTTGGGTCAATGTTATGCCAACGTTAGGGTAACGTTGGCCCAACGTTGCCGCGACGTTTGCGCCAACGTTGGCATTCAAGAAGCCTCTTGTTCAGGGCGGTCCTGCCGCTACCTTTGGCTTTTTACTTCAAGCCCGTGTTTCAAGTTTCAAGTTTCATTCAAGTTTAATTTATTAGGTTTTGCCCTGTGAGCCATTCGGCTCTTGAATCGAGTGCAACCGCAACAAACAAAAAAACAAAAACATGAACAAGAAAACATATTAAAGTGACTATGTGACTATGTGCAAACAGAAAATCCAAGAAAAGACAGCAAAATATTGCAGAAAAAGCACCGTACACCAACACTGTGTGCAAAAATCCCAGTGGGATGCAAGTCAAACAACAACAACCACAAGACAACTTAGATTAAGGCCATCAGTCTAACTCTGTACTACAACAAACAAACATGGCCAAACCGAAAAACCTTTCAAAAATCACCAAAATAAAGCCATAAAAGCAATGAAACAGTGATCATAGGAACTGTGACCGAATGTTCACTTCACAGCAAGGCTCGCGGGTCACTGGCGGCCCCCTGGTGGCCTTTAATGCGGCCCCTGGCATGCAGGGCCCCCCACCGACAACACGCAAAGAGTGACAACACCAGTCCCATCGCCATCGCCATGCTGCTGTCAAACCCACAATGGTTTCAAACACGTGGCGGCCCTCACACGCCGACCGATGATGTCTTATCGGCGAAAGTGTTCGGCCGATGAATGATGACTTTGTTGTTGTTTCGATTTAAAGCTTTCGTGACTGCAGGGATTCATCTTCTTGGTTCTTTCGGTAAAGTCACGTAGAAGGAAAATA